GAGGAGACCGAGGTTATGTGACCTTCAGGAGTTGGAGTTGAGAATCAGGAGACTCAGTGCCTTATTGTGTTTTCCGGTCATCTGCCCACAATCTCGGTGCAGACAAGTGATGGCTGCACCAAAAATTTACACACAAGAGAGGAAACTCATCTGGGGAAATTGTCTCTAATATTAACACAGTGTTTTCCGGGATTTAAGGCAAGACCCTGTCATTGGGTCTTTGGCATGGAATGTCCTGCAAGCTTCCTAGGAGCATCTGTCGTGAGGACAATATTCTGTGGTTTATTCAACTCCGATCTGTCCATCGAATTGGTTGAGCCTCACAAAAGTCCTAGAGGTCAGTAGTGACCCTGGTGCCGCAAAGCCTTCCAAGAAGCCAAGGATGTATACATTCCAAATGAATCCCAGGACCAGCCACAAATGTTCTGGTCCAAAATGATTTCCATGCTTGGAAGACAGCTTGTTTGTCTCCCCTCTCATCCCTACGTGATCTTGCTGGGGATCAGGCATCTTATCCGACTCTTGTTCTACTACATGAGTGAATGCTAATGGACTTCTCCCCCTCGAGTGGCCTTTTGAAGTTGTCCTCAAGGCAAAAACCTCAGGTATTTCCATCGTCATCATCCAGACATTACCACTAAACACTGTACACCAGGCTATGGCATGAGATTTCCTACAACACCTCATTTACTTCTCAGCAACCCAACTGAGAAAGAAGGGAAAGAAGAAAAAAATTATTCGCACTTTACAGATGAAGAAACTGAGGCTCAGGAATTCCCTGGTGGCCCAGTGGTTAGGACTCAGAGCTTTCACTGCTGGGGCCCAGGTTCAATCCCTGGTCGGGGAACTAAGATCCTACCAGCTGAGTGGCACAGCCAAAACAGATTAAAAAATAAAAAATGAGGCTCAAGTGATAAACTGAGCTATCCAAGGCCAGTTTGTTAGTGGCAGAGCTAAGTGTAAACCCACACTCTCCTGATTCCCAAGGCCATGACCTTGACCCTCTGTTACGTTACCAAAGAAGAAGGTATGGGGGTCAAAGGGCAGCTAGGATGTGCTGTCTTCATCCTCTATGGAGCTGTGGCCTGCCCCGTAGTCCAGCAGAGTAAGGAAGGGGGAGATATACTAATTCCCCACATGCATTGCCCTTTATGGTCAGCCAGGTCTTTTTGCAGACATTAGATCGTGGATCCTCTTAACAGCCACACGAGGCGAGTACTGTCATCTCTGCTTCAACAACGAGAAAACTGAGGCCCAGAAAAGGGATGTGTCATGCCTGAAGCCACATAGCAGAAGGACAAGGCCACACAATGAACTCGCGTCTCTGCCTCCAGGCCCAGGTTCTCCTCTGACACCCGCGCAGTTGCAGGCACAGGTCAGGGGTGGGGGAGCGGTGGGGGATTCCGAAGCAGGTCTGCGGATGCCAAGGACACGCCCACGTGTTGAGCACAATGAGGGAAATTCCAAAAGTTCCTTGGGATGGCTCAGGTGTGGCCAAGCCCACCGTCTTCCTCAGGGACCCTCCTCCTCACGCAGGCTTTTCCTCTTCCTTCCCTAACTCCCCCAACAACAACCAGAAACGGGGTCCCCTCCCTTCCTGGAAACTCTGCTCCCCTTGGCCACTCAGGGCTTTTTTCCACAAACAGCCACGTCCATCCATCTCTGTCTTGTGGGCCTCGGGGCCTTGGCGGGGACACGCAGACTTTGAGGAGGTTAAAGGTGCCGGTGCCCGGCCTTCATCTAACAAATGGGTCGCCATGAGAGGAGGACCGTTGTTGTTCTTTCCCGGCCTCTGAAGAGGAGCCTGTCAGGAAGATGGAGAGGCCAGCAGGCCCCCGGCCGCGCCCCGCGGGGAGGTTGACAGACGCCGGCAGCTGTGCGGGCGCCAGGGTGCCAGGGCCCTGCCCGCAGAGGGCCCCCGTGCCCCTCCCCGAGCCCCTCCTGACCTCTCAGCCCCCCTCCAAGACCCAGGACCCACCCTTCGGGCAAAGGGCCAGGCCCTGGGCCTCCCTGGGATGGGGTCCCTGGCCAGATGGGGAGGACAGAGCTGGAGTCTGGTTACAGCCTGCGGGCCAGATCCCAGGAAGGTTCCTCTCCCCTCCAGCCTCCTGTGGATTCCTTCCAGAGCCCCCACAGCCTGCAGCCCCTCGAGGTCCCTCCCCAGGCTGTTCTCTGAGGAACTCCCTCAGTGTCCCCCCACCCTGCAGTCCCATTTGGAATCATCCAGATAAAGGAAAACTAGATGGACTAGGAAGGGAGCCACTTTCATCCATTACCTACTTCGCACTTTGCATAAATGATTTCATTTTGAATTCTCCAACGTCTGCGGGCATTCTGAGGCAGTGGGGCCAGGCTGCCTGGGCTTGAATCCAGATCCCCCATTTCCCAGCTGTGTGACCTGGTGCAGGTTACGCAGCCTCTCTGTGCCTCTGTGCCTCCTATAAAAGATGGAGAAGGTGAGAAAAGCACTTGCTTCAGTGGGCTTTTGTAGCATCCACTGGGGAATGTGGTTGAGGCGCTAAGATCAATGGCTGAGTGGAAGCTGTAAGGACCATCCTACGTTAGGGGAAATGGAAGCTCAGAGAGGTGAAGTGACTTGTCCTGGGGCACACAGCTGGGAAATGGCAGATTCCAGGATTTGAACTTTGAACTGTCTAACCCCAAAGTCTGTGCTCCTTTCTTGGCATCAAAGTGCTCCAGACTGGACAGCCGGCCACCTGAGGGCAATGCCTGCTTCTGCCACTTCTTAGTTATGTGATTCCAAGCAGCTCACGTAATCTGTCTGAGCCTCTGTTTCTTCATGTGTATAAATATAGAGTCTAATTCTTTCTTTACCCAAAATAGGAGAGTTGTAAGGTTCAGAGGAGAGATGCACGTGCAATGGGTAAGTCCTGGACAAAGTGGAGAGGGGAGTCTGGTTTGTGGCTTTGACCCCATCTCCTCCACCAGCCTGCAACACCCTGGCTCCCTGTTCTGGAAGATGAGATGCTTGTTTAATTAACAGCATGTGTGCCGCCTCCAGGCTTCAGGCTTCAGAGCTGAGACCCATGGCCCCTCCTCGGGGAACCTTGGGCATCTTTGGAACCAGCCAGCATATACACTGTTCTTACCGTCCATTCCCATTTCAGCCCCAAGCCTGCTGCACTAGACCATGTCAATAATTCAGTGGGCAAGGAGCTCTGACCCTATGTGCTTGAAATGTCATTCTCCAAGAAATTATATTAACCCTCCAGAGACACCAGCAGGCCATGGGGACTGAGTAGACTGACTGGCCAGTTGAAATGGCAATGGATCCTCCTGTGATGGGCCGCAGCCTGTAAGACCATGAGAAAGTGAAAGTCCCTCAGTCGTGTCCGACTCTTTGTGACCCCATGGACTCTAGCCCGCCAGGCTCCTCTGTCCATGGAATTCTCCAGGCCAGAAAACTGGAGTGAGTTGCCATTTCCTTCTCCAGGGGATCTTCCCAACCCAGGGATTGAACCCTGGTCTCCTGCATTCATTGCAGGCGGATTCTTTACCCTCTGAGCCATCAGGGAAGCTCTTAGATCATGAGACTGTTTGCCAAGGAGAACTCTTTGGGGACTTCCCTGGTGGTCCAGTGGCTAAGACTCCACACTCCCAATGCAGGGGGCCCGGCGGGGTTCAATCCCTGGTCAAGGAACTAGATCCCATGTGCTGCAATGAAAATTGAAGATCCCCCCTGCAGCAGCTAAGATTTGGTGCAGCCAAGTAAATAAATATTTTTAAAAAGAGAGAGAGAGAACTCTTTGGGGAACGAGAAGCTCCTGATTCCTATTTCCATGCACAGACTCCATGGAAAACTTGGCCCCTGGGGGTGGGGAAGACAAAGCAGGTGGACGAAGGTTACAGAGCCAGAGAGCAGGTGGGGGAAGCCTGGGGAAACTTCTAGGAACCTATCTAAGTGTCTTTCCTTTGCCTTGGAGAAAAATGACTTGAAACCCCACTAGACAAGAGTGTGGCTAATTGGCATGTAAGTTGGGGGTTAAAGAGCGGAAGGAAGAATCTGATTGTTTTTTTAAGTTACTGAGAAAGTGAGAATGTCACTGTGGGCAGAGAAATAATTTTTTTTTCTGGAGTGTGTCTTTCTTTCTACTACAGACCGTAGTGGGCCACTGAGACTTGCAAAAAAAGATTGCTTTTAATCCACCTTCCTTTTTGCAAGCAGCAGTAGAAGGGCCTTTAAATCAAATGCAATCAGCAAACTTGTCTCTTGCACTTATTCCCCGCTTCACTCCCTGGAATTTGGCACTTGATGGTTTCTGGATCTGACTTAAGGCTTTTTTCAAATCCGAGACTTGGGGAATTTTGTTAACAGTGCAATAAAATAACTTCATAGTGTTATAGGAGGCACATTAAAGAAAGTGTGTGTGTGCTGCTCTCTTTCCTTAAAAAAAAAATACAGACAATGTTTCTTTAAAAGACTCCATCTGCAAATCCCATTAGATGTGCATATAAGGTTTCTGATGATTAATAGTTGCCTGCTCGGGTTTTGGTTGGAGGGGATCGTGTGTGTGCTGGTTAACCCCTCCCTCTCCTCTCTCACATTTCACTTCAGAAATTTGTCACTCTCTCCCCACCGCAGGATTTAAAAGTGTGTCTCAGCAGCCCTGGACCAGCTCTTTGCAGGCATTTGCTGCGGGCTCCAGGACAAGCCCTCGTCAGCCGGTGCGTCTGGGCTGGGACAGTGAAAATGTTTAGTGTCATCGGCGACAAATACACGTATAGGGGACCCCACTAGGCAGGCTGGTGGGTCAGGGGGAACAGGAAGCCAGGAGCCAAGTCCAACATAGGTGTGGGCACACGTATGCGTGGCCACCCACACGTGTGCGTACTCTGAGGAGCAACTTTCGTTTTGGTTTTTGTTTTGGTTCCTGGGGCAAATTTTCTATTGAACACTTTTGCCCTCTTTTTAACAATTTGAATACAAAAAGTGTAAGAATCCAACCTTTGAAAGGATTGAGGCAGGCAGCAGACAGCAGATGGATCCAGCGGCCAGCAGCTGCATGAGGGGTCCCCACCCCCCGGCCCCCGTCTGGGGCTGCCTTCGAAACCCCCACTCGGAAGGCACTGGGGCCTCAGGGCTCCCCCACTACCCGCCAACCCCATTCTCCTTCCACCAGAAACCAGACTTCCCAGCAACAGCGACAGCTGCGTACCCCGACTTCTCAGCCTCCTGCCTGGCGGCCACCCCACACAGCCTGCCCCGGGAGGAGCGAGGCTTCACTGAGCAGCACCCCGCCTTCCCACAGTCCCCCGACTGGCACTTCCCTGTCTCGGAGGCCCGGCGTAGGCTCAACCCAGGCCCCGCGGGGGGCTCCAAGGAGATAGGGGCCAGCAGCCCCGGCCTGGTGGACACCACGGGAGGCCCAGGCGAGGACTATGAGGTCCTTGGGAGCACTGCCAACGAGATGGAGAAGAAGACAACCAGACGGAAAAAGGAGAATTCAGGTAGGTGGCTGAGGAAGAGCTGACAGTTCCTTTACTGTGTGACCTTGAGGAAGTTGCTTGCCCTCTCTGAGCCTAGGTAGCCTGATGTGAATGGGGGATAATATGATCTAACCTCCCCAAAGGCAGGAGACTCAAACCAGTTACCTTTGGGGCTATTTCTGCTCAGAGTTCTAGGATTCTCTGGTGATGGGGGCTATGTCTGTCTCCTCACCTCTGGTGGGTTCCAGGAAGGATGTGCTGGAAAGAGAATGAAACAGGATCCACAGATTTGGAGGGCAGGTGGGATGGAGCCTCCGGGTACAGGTTGGCAAAGGCTGGAGGGGGCTTTTCTGAACTGGACTATGTCTGGGTCACACTTCTCCCCAGTATGCCCCAGCTGGTTCCAAATGGCCCCGAGAGCCCCAGGGCTGACTCCCCAGGAGAGTTAGCTTACTCCCCAAGGCTCAGAGGGCTAGGACCAAGGCTGGGACCCTGGGCAGTCAAACAGAACCATGACTCTGTGTCTCTGGGAGTCTAGAGGCAGCAAAGCAGACATAGGGCAAGGATGTGAGAGGCAAATGCTGCGGTTTGGGGCAGACTGCCCATGAGGAATGCGCTGCCCTGCTGGGCTGTGTGCTCAGGCAGAGGGGCAGCACAAACTGCTAAGGTCTGGGTGATCTCCCAAAGGCCACTCCTCAGAGGAGCCCTCCTGGGGCGTCACCAATCTTGGGGAGAGTCAGAGAGGCAGGCAGCAGAGGGTAAGCACTGGGGAAGTATCAGAGGATGGAGCTGACCTGCTTGTTCAGACCCCAGTTAATGTCCATCTCCTCCTGGTAGTGGGGACTGTTGTTTCCTCATCTCCCCATGGGACCGCCCAGCTTTTCTCACCACCCATTCACCTTTTGTCTGATTCCCCGTCTCTATCTCGACCAGAACAAGACAGTGCCCTTGCCTCCTGCACCCACTGCCCGACTATGTCCTCCTAACGGCTGTCGTCAGGGCATATCTGTCTGTCTGAATCTATAGGAGAGTTTTCATGGGGCTAATGAGGGGCAGGCAGCAAATGAGAAGACCAACCAAAGAGAACACTCCCTGCTTTAGGTTACGAAGGGCTTTCAAAGTAGCCCAGATTTCCCGAGCATCTTCTGTTTGTTTTGGCAGAGGTCCTGGGGCTGCAGGGATGAATAAGGTGGTCTTGCCCCCCAAACAGCTCAAACTGAGAGGGAGGGGAGGCCAGCAGATGCCACTGGCAGTGGATGTGCTATGACTGAGGGGGTTCAAGGTGCTGTAAGAAACATACGATAGTTCTGAGTCGCACAAGGTTCGAGTTTGCTCCATCAGGTCTTATCAGTGACTGGATTCTTTACGCATGGAAAAGAAGAGACTGAAAATCTTGAGAGGAGCGCTGCTAGCACAGAGTTAAAAGACAGTGACCCACTCATGCCAATGTACCCAGCACTTTCCTGGTTTTAGCATTCAAAGTCCAGTGCCCCCAGAACAGTTGGTCACCCTAGAAGGAAGCTCAAACCCCAGACTTCAGACCCCAAATCCCACACCCTTCGGTAGATCCCAAACACAATCCTCATTTTGAAATATCTGGTCTCCATGCTTGAAGAAGCCCCTCAGTGTGCTCACAGGGGATGATAAAAACCACAGTCCCTGGTGGTCCAGTGGTTAAGACTGTGTGCTTCCCCTGCAGAGGGCAAGGGTTCAATACCTGGTCAGGGAACTACAATCCCATGTGCCATGCTTCAAGACCAATAAATAAAATAATAATTTATTTGATTTAAAAACAAAGCAAAACAAAACATAGCCCTCTTGGATGCTATGAATAGAAGGGCTGTTTGAATTCTCAGCCGGTTAAACCCTGAACTGTTCCTAAGCCTGGCTGGAGATTTGCTGAGAATGGGACACTTTCGGCTTCTCCTTTCAAGGAACTCTCAGCTTCTTGGCTCTGCGCCTAGTTGAAGAGCTCACCCCTCTACGGTGCCTGCCACTGTAACTCCTCCATCTCTGCCCACACCCACCTCGGCTGCATCCAGCCACTTTCCAGGGAGCTGTGAGCCAAGAGTACTGGGAAGGCATGGACAAAGCCAAGGGCCAGGCTTAGACAAAGTCATTCCATGTTTCAGCTGGACCCAAATGCACCATCTTTCCTATTGATGAGTGGCCCGTGGATGGTGCTTCTCATGTGCCAAGCAGCTGGCCACCCCAGGGCACCCTCCTCATAGGGTCAACTTCTGGTCAGGAGAGGTTCCCACCCAGGAGGGGCCCTGAGCTCTCCCTCAAGGTCCTCTCAGAAGCAGCACTGGCAGCAGCAGTCACACAAAGCAGGGCACAGCTAGCTGGCTCTCATTCATTCTCTGGGGTTCCAGGCACTCTGTGGTCAACACGGAAATCTTTATCCCCCAGTGGCTTGCATCATCCTTTGAGATTTAATTAAAGAGGCAGGAAAGATCAGCTTTGTCAGAACCTAAAGAGAAGAGAAAGCAATGGGCAGGGCTCATAACTAACTCCAGGAGTCTGGAATTCAGATCACAAGAGACAAATCCACAAAGAATCACCACCCTGGGACTTCCCTGGTGGTCCAGTGGCCAAGACTCCACAATTCCAATGCAAGGGGCTGGGGTTCGATCTCTGGTCAGGGAACTGGATCATGCATGTCCCAACTAAGACCTGGCCCAGCCAGAATAAATATTGAAAAACAAAACAAAGAACCCCCACCCACCCTATCAATCCTGATCCACTGGTTGGACTGTCTTATTTTAAACTTTGACATCCTGTTCATTATGGACTTTTTGTAAGAATTTTGATTTTTTTAAACATTGCATTAAAATATTCTTTCTCTTCGTTACTGTGGTTATTGGCACCCCTTGTATGTTGTACTCAACGTGAGTGTCTCACCCCGGCCCCTGCTAGGCCACCTCTGCAAGGTTAACCAGCACTGATCAAGAAGTGTGTTTTCCATCAAGCTTCACAATCAGGATGCAGGTTGGCACTGCAACTTCCCACTGCTTGACGTTGGGAAAGTCCTTAATTTCTCAGAGCCTCTGTCTCCCCAGCTGTAAAATGGGACTCTAATAATATTACCCTCCACACAGAGTCCCTGCGAAGGTTAAATGCTGTGATCCATGAGATGAACCCTGTGCCTGGCACATGAGTTCGATAAATAGTGGCTATGAATGGTATCAGGCCCGTCTTTACAGAACTAGTCTCCAGAACATAGAATGTGACAAATAACCCTTTGTTTTGGGGGACAGTGGAATTGAACATTTCAAATATGCTGTCTCAGAAATTCCTGAACCCGGGGTATAAAATGTGGAAACTTCTCAAAATCATTGTGGGTCCTGAAATCCAGTTGCCATCGATCAGGAGCCTGAAGCTCAGAGATCCACCAGAGAAGCTGGGGGAGGGAGTGAGTCGGGCCTGGCAAACGTGTCCCATGCTGGCTGGCCTGGCCAGGAAGGGTCCGGTAACAGAAAGTTACTGAAAGTTCATTTCGAAAGGAACATTCTCTGCTCCCCGGTCTCCTTCAAAGCTCTGCCAGTCCCAGCTGCTTTCCCATCACTTGCCATCACTGGAAGTGGAGCTGATTTGCTCAAGGAAATGGTCAGGAAAGCGGGGTTCCCTGGACCCCACTCTGAAACTTTCTGTTGGTTCACAGCACAAAGCTGATTTAGGAGTCGGCTGTGATGTTAACTTGCCCTAACCACTCCCACTCCGGGGGGCCAGGGGGCGTTAAAGACCCCTGCTAGCAAGGACAGCTGCCACTCCTGTTTGCCCCTCAATCTGTCATGGCTACCGTGGTCGTCTTTAATTTATGGGAATGAAGGATTTCATGGTGATTTCCTGACGGGGTTCAAGGGAAGGTCGCGTGTGATCAGCCCGGCGGCAACAGGTGAATCTGATCGGCCGCCTGGGAGGGCCTCTGTGCCTGGGATCCCCGCTGCTGGCTGATGCTCTCGCATACTCATTCTGTCTTCATCAGACTTGCTTTGTCCTCCACCCCATACTCCTGAAGCTCCTACATGTGTGCCTCCCAGGGCTCCTCCTTCCCTGTTTTTTCCCCTGTAAGATCTGATGTCCACCTGCCCTGCCCAGCTACGCACACTCTCAATGTCCCCTGAGGTTGAAAAACCCTCCACAAACTGGCCTCTTTCCCACCTGATTTCCCTCTATAGCCCACCCCTCTCACTTCTATCTCCACTCAACAAGGCACCAAGCCAATTTAGTTGCCTTGCAAAGGCACCCTGCTTTTTCTCCCCACCACCCCGATTTGTTCAGTGCTTCCCCTTGCTTCCCCTTGCCTCAAACACCCTTCTCTTCCCACACTCTTCTGCTTTATTTTAACATCCAGCTTGAAAGCCATCTACTCCAAGGATCCTTCACTCCTTCCATCCTTCCTTCATGATTCCACTTAAACATGGCATCATTTCAGTGAAAGTTACAGTTTAGAAATTTCAAATGACAGTATCACTAGAACCTGAGGATGATTTTATAAATAAAGTTTGTAACTCATAAGGGAGCTCTCCTGAGATTTCTTACCATCAAACATCTAATCTTTAAAATCTGTTTTTTTCTTTATTGTGATCAAAAACACATCATGTAAGCTTGACCATCACAACCACTTTTAAGTGTGCAGTTCAGTAGCATTAACTATATACATATATATATATATATCTCATTGTGCAACAGATCTCTAGAACTTTTTTTTTTAGATCTCTAGAACTTTTTCATCTTATACAATGAAATTCTACATCCACTGAAAAACAGTTCCTTTTACCCTCTTCCCCGCACCGCCCCCCCACACACACATCAGGCCCTGGAAACCAGTATTCTACTTTCTGTTTCTAAGAATTTGACTACTTTAGATACCTCATATATGTGGAATAAGGCAGCATCTGTCTTTTCACGATAGGTTTAGTTTACTTAGCCCAATGTCCTCAGGCCTTATCTGTGTTGTAGCATATGACAGAATTTCTTTATTTTTTTAAGGCTGAATAATATTCTGCTGTGTGTAT